CAGTCCAGGAAATTTTCTGTACTTTCTTGAGATTCTATCTTTTTTTAAGCTTTCTATTGTGATTTGGGTGAAAGTTTACACACCAAATTCATTTTCCATTCAACAGTTCATACACATTTCATCCATGACATTGACTGCAACCTCCACAACCTAACAGTACTCTTCTCACTCACTCCCTGTGGTTCCCTTTTCCCCATGTCCTTCTTTCCCATGCATTCCTGCCCTCTGAGCTATCTCATTGCACAACTGCTGCCCTTCTGATCTCCCATGGTTGATGTTCTAAGGAGTGCGCCTACCTGGTATAATCGTTTACGTCATAAGCCTGTGTATTGTTTGGCTGAAAGTTGAGCCATAGGAGTGAGTTCAATTCCAGGTTGAAAGGGTAAGTAGGGGCCAAAGTCTCAGGAGTTCCACCAGTCTCTATCAGACTCTCTAAAAGCTTGGTCCTTTTTATGATTTTGTTTTGGTCCACATTTTCCACACCAACTCTACCCAGAATCTCCAATATTGATCCTTTTCTGAGTGGTTGGCAGAGGTAGCCAGGTACCATCTAGTTCATCTGGTATCAGGGTCATGTCAGCTGAGGTTTGCATGGTCCACTAGTCCCTTGGACTAATTATTTCCATGTGTCTTTGATTTTCTCCTCTCTTCTTTGCTCTGGGTAAAGAGAGACCAATTGTTGTATCTTAGATGGCCACTTGCAAGCTTTTAAGACCCCAGTCACTACTCACTGAAGTAGAACGTAGAACGATGTTTTTGTGTACTATGCTACGTCAGTTGAGCTTAATGTCCCCTGCAACCATGCTCCCGAGCCTGCAGGCCCAGGTAAAGAGGTTACTTCTAAGTATAGAAAAAGCACACTGCAGAAGTCTGGACTCTCAATGTCTATTGGGTGAAGACCTGCCATCAGGAGGGACTCTGACCTTTGAAGTTTACCTTCCTATATACTCTAGTTCATCCCAGGTTATTTAAATGGAGCCAGGCCACCCTCCACATACTAAACTTTGTCATGCTATGAGATGTCTTATAAATATGGTGTATTATGTAGAGTTTTGACTATAAGAAGTAACACATTTATGGTGATCTAAGGAGCAAAAGAACTGGTTATCAGGAGACCCTTTGTATTGTTCACCACCATATACCTAGCCCAATGCCTGACACATGGTGGTGGTGGTAGCTGCTGTTACTCCTGACTCCTGGCAACACTGTGTACAATGAACCAAAACACTTCCCGGTCTTGGTTGTGCCCTATAGGGTTTTCATTGGCTTATTTTTGGAAGTAGATCACCAGGCCTTTCTTCCTAGTCCATCTTAGTCTGGGAGCTCCACTGACACCTGTTCAGCATCTTAACACACAAGCCTCCACTGATGGTGGTGGCTGCATATGAGGTGCGTTGACTAGGAATCAGAACTAGGTCTCCTACATGGAAGGCAAGAATTCCAATAACCAACAGTGTCTCCTGGCCCTTGGTAGGGCCTAATGAAAATCTGTGGAATGTATGAACAGGCAGGGAGCCAGGCCTGGACCATCCAACATATCATCCCCTCTCCTCCAACCTCTCTCTTCGGTCTGGCCTTCTCTGCTGCCAGCCCAGAGGGTGTGAGAAGCATCCTGTAGCTGCCAAGTTGACATGTTTCAGCTATAGCCACTCAAAGGGGTACTAATGGTCTCTATTCCCAATTCCTAGAACAGGGACCCTGAGAGGCTCAGCTTGATCAAGTACCCACCAGGTTCAATCAACAGATCAATAAAAGCACATTGTACAAAAGACAATGCATCCCTGTGGGGCAGGGAGGGACATGAGCAGGAGCAGTTTCCATGAAAAGGAATGCTAGGCAGAAAACTCAATAGGTATCCTTTAAAAAGAGCATCATTTCTGGGCCCGTTAAATAGGCTCTCACATTTAGCGTTAGTTCCTCAATCTACTTGCTGTTGTTAGTTGCTATCTATTTGGACTCATGGCAATCTCATGTGTGCAGAGTAGAACTGCTCCAATAGGATTTTCAAGGCTGTGACCTTCTGGAAGCAGATTCCCGGGCTTGTTTTCTAAGGCACCTCTGGGTGGGTTCGAACTGCCAACTTTTTGTGCCAATCAAGGACCTATTCAAGCCGAAATAGATGCATATTCTTGTTTCATTTACAGTCAGGGCAACTTAAAATTAAAGCAGCTAATTTGCTCAAAGGCACATAAAGGCCAAGTCTGTCCAATAAAAAACAGTGTCTCTAAACATGGCACTAACCTGCCTTCATCCTGTGGCCCCATATAGGAAGGAGACACACCTTATGGCCACCTGTGGTCACTTTTTCACGTTAGATTTGGTTAGGACCAAGGTCATGCTCTGTAAGACAGGGGTGTTCTGGGCAGGCCACTGACAATTCATCTTCAAAGTAAAACTTTAGGAGTAGTTGAGTAAGAGGAAGCAAGACAGGCAAGTGTTCCTCTTCTTTTATTAACGAGTCAAGATACACAAAGACTTAATAAAAAGTTACATAAAAGGCTCACACATCATCGAGATCTGCAGGCATCACTCTCATTTCACAATAATGGCCATCCATTAATACTGTGGAACAGAATCTGGGCGCACACAGGTGCTCGAGAATTCAAGTATCTTTCATTCTAAGTAAACCCAAGATGGAATTTTGAACCTAATGGGCTGCTAGTGGAAAGATCTTGTCTGTGGCTCCGGATTTATGGTAAGACTTTTGAGAGGCCCTAGCATTAGAGTTGCCATGTGTTAGTGGGTCATGTTTGCCGGCAAAGTGAGACAGGCCACTTCAGGCCAACCAGACATTCTCAACAAGGGCCACAAGAAGATGGTGGACAAAATCCTAAGAGAAACCACCCAAGTTGGTTGGAAACTAACAACCAACCACACATTCCCTTATGTGGCTGAGTGCAGAGGAAGTAAGTGGCTATAGCCATGGCCCCTGGCTGAGCAGGTGGGATGGCTAGGATTCCCCACTGGGAAGAAAAGCAGCCCCCTAAGAGGGTGTTAGAATAGTGGGAGGAAATCTGAGAGTACACAGTGGCAAAGGCATGAGATGATGGGAGTTCAGGAAAGGTATGCCCCAAGGGAATGTTAGCACTATTCATGGGGTCTGGAGACCAGGGAGAACATCAGGATGTCACCAAACACATGAGTCCCGGCAGCTCCTCAGTCATGTAGTAATGTGGCAAACTGATTTCCCAGACCCACCCTGCCAGGTAGTCAAAGAGAAGATGCCATACGAGGGATGCCCAAGCCTTCCTTGCTCCTAGGATTCACCGTGCCACAGCTCAAGCTCTAAAACGAAACATAACCGTCTGCTGCCATGGAGCTGCAGGCTGCACCTGGGCAGGGCGTGTGCTGGTGGTGGTCCATGCCCAGTACAAGTCTCCCAGCAGTGGACACTGCCTCGTGTGCATGGCTTCTTGCCCCACCCCACTACTTCCTCAACACAGAGCATCTCCACCCTTCTTCTCGCCTGCCTTTCCTCCTCCATTGTCTCCTGTGCCAGGTGGCTGCTGAGAACTACCACCACATTGTTTACACATCTGCCACAGATGTGGCTCAGGGTTTAGAAAGAACCTTGTCCTTTTAGTGTTTGAAATGCTCACAAACATGAAAGGATCCTGGGAAGCTCTGAAGTGCTTCCTCTGGAATGTTGTTTGTTATCCTTCCTTTGAGGAAAGTATTTAGACAAATAAGTTTTATTTCCAATGAACAAAACCCCCAACTGTTCCATTCTGCAGTAGAATCATTCTTCAGCCAGGTCTCTAGTGCTGGTGATTTCAATGAGTTAGGAACTCAAGGGATTTTCAAAGCTGGAGAAGAATCCAGGGATCTCAATGTCCCAGCTGGTGCTCACTTTCCCTGGATTTCTTTCTCCAAAGAGTGGCAGGCCATCTGCTGGGTATGTTCTAGTTTGGCTACTGACTTGATTTGTAACACGTAGGATATAAGGCCACCAGCTGTGCCACCTCGTCTTCAGACCTTCTCTCAGGGCATGCCATTGTTCCAGCTGCCCCACCACCCCTGCCCTGTCTGGAAGAAACCCAGTCTTGGGCTCACACCAGCAGCACCTGGGAGGGTGGGGGGCATTGTCAGGGAGTTGGGGGGATTGTCCCCTTGCAGAAACAGGTGCATGGGAGCCATATCATCAATGGCATCTTCCTTTCTCCTCCAATCACATCATATAGTCAAGATCCAAGAGATTAATAAAAGTATGTGCCAGAAAGCCAACCTAATACTATCTGTGAATGCTGGAAGGGCTTATAGAGGTGATCGTCAGTTAACTCAAGGGGAAAATGGCTCCAGATCTTTCATGGTGCTGTTTAGTGGTGCTCAAAAAAAAAAAAAAAAAAACACCTCACTGCTGTCAAGTCGATTCTGACTCATACCATTCAGTGGCATGAAATCATTTTTTGGTTAAAAGTCAGCATGAACTAGAGTTTTCTAGATGGGGTCCACATTAGCCTACTTGCACAAGGAGAAACATGCATACCGATCTCGGGGATTTTGTATCAGAGAGGTACCAGGCAGCACAGGTGATGGGCGAAAGCACAAAGAGGCAGATCTGAGAAACCTAGGATCCTCTCACAGAGCTGGGAAGAACATGGAACTTAACCTACATTGTCTGAAAAATCAGCTCACACTTTTGCAAAGCCAATCAGTATACACATTTCCAGGATAATGAAAACTTCTCTTAGAACTGACGTGCCAGCCTTTCCCCTCAGCAGAATAAAATCCTGTTCCCTGATTTCTGCATCCTCAGCCAGAGCAAAGCTCTCTGGGTAAACACATCTCTTTTCTCTCCAGTTTATAGGCCTCGAGGAGGGTCTGTTTCCCTCCTGGGTCTGATCGAGGGTTCGAGGCCTCCAGCAATAGTTCCCATTAACTTCTGTTCTCTAAGTGACTATACCTTCATATTGAGTTTTGACACTGCTAGAACTAAGTTTAAAAAAAAAAACAAAAAACGCCTTCCAGACATATTATCAGAGAGGTCTTCTGAAGACAGGAAACTTTACCAGTCAGTGGGAACAGACCCCTTCGATAAAATAATAATCACTAAAATAATTTAAAAAAATCTAGAAAAGACATCCAAGCTTAAACACTGTTGACTGGGGGCACAGGGGAAAAGTTTGTTCATGGCTTCTTTTGTATTTGTACATAGATTAATACCTCCACATCAAACCAAAACTATGCAGTTAAAAGAAACAACACACCCACTAAGAGAGGGGGCGGAACCGGGCTGAATCAACACATGAGGGGCTTGGATGCTGCTTCTGTTCCTGTGTCACTTCCTTGTCTCTTGTGAGAGACTGGAAAGCCCATGCATGCCCTTTTGGCAAAGCCAGGTCCTATGTCCTCCCTGCCCACCCTCCCTTCCTCTCTTCCTGTGCCAAGTCCTTGGGCCAAGGGTTGTGGTTAAAAATGGTTTTCAGTGCAGTTAGGCAGCAGAGGGGTCCCAAGGGCTGGCCAGTTCACGCTTGCCGTGCCCTAGGCCGCAGGCCCGTCACAATATAACGCACTGCAGTTTGTGGGTGCCAGTGGCCCGATCTCCCCGCCATTTGGTTTTCTTCTTCTTCTTCTGGCTTTTTTCAGGAATCTGTTGCCTTTTGAAACAAAGAAGAGTAGAAAAACAAAGTCAGACTGGGCTTTGACTCTCTGCTGCTCCCCTCCCTCACCCCCAGCTGTGTGGCAGAGAAGGCCTGTTCTGGCGTGGGAGGGAGAGCTGTTGCCATCCTAGATGCGGGAGGAGGGCCTGGTCTAGACAGCGCCTCTGAGGCCAAGAAACTGGAAGGAGATGAGGACAAAGGAAAACCTAAATCATCCTACCGCTTAGAATTACCGGAATTATGCTGAGGCGACGTATTTAAATCACATGCGATGTCATGTTTTATGTTTCATATAGTGTTGGCCTTTATGTCTGTGTTTCATATTTTAAATAAAATGACAGGTCAACTAAATACAAAAACATTTTACATGCTTTCCTTTCACTTTTCCTGTGACTGAAACTTGCACTTGTAACTACAGGTCCACAACCAAGATATAACCACCCCCTGGTGGTGGCATATCTTAGCTACAGGCAAAACACCCACGAGAAAATAATTTTAAAAGTTTAGCACAGAGAGTGCCAGCAAAAGCGTAAAGTGAAGGCTGCAAGGTCACTGTCCACCGTGGGTGTGATGGTTAAGGTTATGTGTCAACTTGGCTAAGCTATGATTCTCATAGTTTGGCATATATTATATAATGAACTTCCATTTTGTGATCTGATATGAACAATCAGTTGAAAGAAAAGTTTCCCTGGGGGTATGGCTGCATCCATTATACATTGATGTTCTAGCAAAGCTCGCTCACTCTTGATCCTGCCTGCGACTCATCATCCTCTGACCTCCAGTTCTTGGGATGTGAGCCAGTCGCCTTCTGCCTGACCTGCTGATTTTGGGTTTGTCAGCCCCGCAACCACGTGAGTTAGGAGTAGCCTCCATTCTGATGCCTGACCCATGGATTTGGGACTTGCCAGCCTCCACAACTATGTAAGCTATTTCCTTGCAATAAATCTTTCTCTTTGTATATACACTTATATATGTTTATATATACACCTCACTAGTTTTGATCCTCTAGAAAACACAGCCTAAGACAGTGGGGAATAGCAAGGAAATGAGGTTGCTGAGCGTATGTGAATGTATGTGTGTGTGGGCACACAGGCATGTACACATTATATCATGGGACTGAGAGGTGGCCGACAAAAGAGGAATGGGGGCAGCCCTAGGTCTATTTCCACAGATAACCAATAGAGCTTAGAGTTCACCAGCATAAAAGCAACATGCTCAATGAATGGTATTTGAGAACTACTGGTTAGGTCACTCTGAATGTTGGAGATTTTGGAAATGAGAAAGAAGAGAGGCAAGAAGACCAGCCAAGAGGCTGTTTCAACCATCTAGGCATGATGTGATGAAGGCTTGATTCTAACCATGCAAAGGAATATACAAGGGTCCACTCAGCAAGGTTTCTGACAATACTTGGAGGCTGATAGTGTGTGGGGGTCTGGAAAGGAAACACATAAGTAATGCCTCTGGAATGTGAGCCTGGGAATCAGAATGTTGGCTGTTTAGGTAAAACATCAAAGGGTGGTCTGATATCAGTCAGGGAAGAGGAGATGGACCGATTTTTTACCAAGTTGAAAGCTTCAGTGTTAAAAAAGCATGGAACAGAATAGAGGTAGCTGCAGGACTGAGGGCGAGGCCAGAGCTGACCCCTCTGGAAGGCATTCCATTTAGCTGTGAGCATGAGGTTTACCCACAGATTCATTTGTAGTTGGGGTGGGGGCAGGGGAAAGAAATGGATGGAGGTGTAAGAAATCCAAAAATAGGAACAGATAATAGTGGTGATTGTACAAGATGAATGTGATTAACGCCACTGAATTGCACATGCAAAAAATGTTGACATGGCAAATGTTTTGTTATACACATATTTATCACAGAAAAACAAAGAAACTCAAAAATTGGCCCAGAATCCCCCAGCCTCACAGGTACAGAACAAGGAGCTGTTTTCATTACTGGAGGCTCCAGCAGCCAGGTGCCCACCCATGCAGCAGACGACCCTGCCTCTAGGAAAGTGTGTGACACTCACCTAATTACTCTAACGAGGTCATGGAAGGCTTTGTCGACATTGAGAGGTGGGTCCTTGGCACTGGTTTCTATGTATGGAATCTGAAAGGCATAGCTCAACTTGGTCAAAGTGTCACTGAGCCACACAAAGCTCTGAACATCCTTAAACATGCAGATTCTCAGAGATGCCAAGCAGTCATGCGTTTTTAAAGTCCCCCACAAAGCTCTCAGACCCCAACAACCTCACACCTCCTGTGGTGGTGGGTGGCCTCTTGTTCTTTAAGGCTGGAAAGTTTTTTGTTTTTTTTTTAATTGTGATTTGGATGGAAATTTACAGAGCAAATACACTTTCCATACAGCAATTCACATGCACTTTGTCTCATGACATTGACCACAATTTGGCACAATGCAACATCTCCTCTCCCATTTCCTCCCAATAGTTACCTCTTCCCTGTGTCCATCCCTCCATGCACTCCTGCCCCTTGAGCTGTCTTCCTGTGCCTGAACAGCCCTCTTTCTCTCATGCTTGTTCTCTCCAAGGAGTGTATCTACCTCAGGTAAATGCTCAACTGATATGGCTGTCTATTGTTTGGCTGGAAGCCACAGGTGTGCGTTCAATTCCAGACCTGAAGGGCAGCTAGGGGCCACAGTCTCAGTGGTTCCAAGGGCTGGAAAGTTTTACTAATAGCTTTTCCAATTCCCTCTTGTTCTCTAGTCTCAGAGATATTTAATGGCTCCCTAAAAATAGAAGAAAATTATCTTTTTATGTACTTGAAGACTGAAGACTTTCATTTGTCAAATGAAAATACTTTCTGGTTCTAATCATTTTTCTTTTCTTCTATTTCTCTATCTTGAGGTGACTTCGACCCCTCCTTCTGGGCCCTCCAGAGTGGGCTCTGGTGGGAAAGATTGAGGTGAGGCTGGGTCATGAGTAGAACTCAACCCTGGGACCCCTGGCCAGTCCATACCCACTCACCCTGCAACATACTTGCCTCCACAGAGCTTGCCCAGCCCAGCTCTCTCTTTATATTCCTCTGCTCTGCTGTCTTGTTTCATACTAAGAGGGCATACTAAGTTCCATTTCAGTACACCAGGACTGCAGGAGTGATGGGGTACTGACTTTTATTCACACCCTAGTCCCCTAACACACACACATACACACACAACCCACATTGTGTTTTGTCGCCATTTCTTTTCCTTGCTCCCTGGTGATTTTCCTCAGGTGCATCAAATCGACCTTGTTCGCCACAAGGATCATCGGGAATGACTCCCTGGGAAATAAAGCAACAGTGGCTCTGTGAGATTTCATTGCTCTCATGGATACCTAGGTTAGGCAGTATAGCCACGCCTTGGGCAGGACACAGCCCACAGAAACCCCTCAGTTGGCCTGTGGTGCCAAGTCCATTCCCTCCAGTTTCCAGAGATGGGAAGGTAGTTGGGTTGAGACTAGGAGGTGGGCTGGTGTGGTGGTTAAGGTTATGTGTCAACTTGGCTGAGCCTGGTTTTGAGTGGCTGGGCAGCTGGATGTAGTTAGTTATTCCCCATGATGAGACTGGTAATCAACACCATGGTGGAATCTACTGTGAACAGCTGAGTAGCTGCCCTAGGGTTGTGGTCTGCTTCCAGCATATAAGAAGCCTTGAGAAAAGGTTTTGAGATTTTGGACACATCTAGATCCTACATTTGGCTGAGTCTTCATCTTGGTGGCCTGCCAAGTTGTCCACTGAGCTTGAGATTGTTTCTGGACTTGAACTAGTGGTCTGCCATGTTTCTTAATAATCTTGCCATTTCACTTGTCAACCTTGGGTTTGTCAGCCTCAGCAGCCAGCAGCTGTCTGAGTTAAAAGAAGCCTCCAGTTTCAGTGGGCTAGGAGCAAGAGGCGGAGCTGAAGCCCAAAGTTGAGGAGCCTTCACCTAGCCCCTGGAGCTTGCACTTTGAACATGGACTTCTAGCCTCCTAAATTGTAAGAGAATAAATCCCTGTTTGTTCAAGGCATACATGTGTCTTTTTCTGTTAAAGCAGCACTAGAGAACCAAAATATCTGCCAAAAGGGTCCTGGGACTGCTGGCTATCTTGATTTGAAGGCTTAGGCCCATTTCAAGGCCAGCAAGGAGCTGCCCTAGGACCAACTCCAGTGTAAGTCACCAAGCTGGTGACAAAGACTCCTTGGCTCAGCACTGTCCGAAAGGCCACTGGAAGGGCTGCTGGGATGTGGCTCTGGGTGCCCAGTTCCTGCTCCCCCCATCTCTCAGGCACTGCAATGTACCTATCATGCAGGGCTGCTATGGCCATCAGCAGTAATTCATGAAGAGCAGCAGGGACTGGGCCAGCCACACAACTGGCACTTAATGAAGGTAGCTGAAAAATCAGGATGGATTCCAGATGTGGAAGTAGAAATCAAGAGGCATGTCCATCTTAAAGGTGTTATTGATATATGTGGGCAAGTTGCATTCTAAAATTGAATGAAATGGTCTCTCAGCACCATTAACAGCATTGGTAATTTTCATCTTAAAAGTCCTGTATTATTTTTATTTGTATTTCATTGGTACTCGGGTGGCATAGTGGTTAAGGCTGCTAACCAAAAGGCTGATGGTTCAAATTCACCAGCCTTGGAAGAAAGATGAGGTAGTCTGCTTCTGTAAAGATTTACAATCTTTGGAGACCTAATGGGGTCGCTGTGAGTCAGAATTGACTCAATGGCAGTGAGTTTGGGTTTTTTTGGTACATTGATTGGTTAAATCTCATTTGATTGGAAACCCAATGGAGGTCACTATGAGTTGGAATTGACTCAATGGCAGAGTTTCCCACCCTCATCAATTAGCAAGATGGTTGAATATTATCCCACATCTGAGTCATTCATTTATGTTTTCTCATTTGATATTCATATATTCAGGGGGCTTAGCCCATGTTTATCTATTAGAGCTTTATGTATGAGTGTGTGAATGTATATGTGTGACATTATTAACACTGCCTTTGGAACAGGTATTAAGTGATTTCTGTCTTTACTGGAATTTGTTTAGGGCTTGCTGTTTTCCCATTACACTGCTTCTTTGAGATCCAATTAACTGTTTTCTTCTTAACTGACAAGATCAGTTGGGCTTAAAACAGACTCCAAATTATTTAATTACTCCAAGGAAAGAAAAAAAAAAATGAGCCTTTAACTAGGGGTTTGTAAATCTCGCAATCAAATGAGATTTAACCAATCAATGTACCAAAAAAACCCAAACTCACTGCCATTGAGTCAATTCTAACTCACAGCGACCCCCATTAGGTCTCCAAAGGCTGTAAATCTTTATGGAAGGAGACTGCCTCATCTTACTTCCATGGAGCAGCTGGTGGGTTCGAACCACCAACTTTTTGGTTAGCTGCCAAATGCTTTAACCACTACACCACCAGAGCTCCTTCAATCACAATGTATTGTTGTTGTTGTTGTTGTTATGTGCTATTGAGTCGGACCCGACTCATAGCGACCCTTCCTTGGGTTTTTGAGGTGCTATCACTATGGAAGTAGATTGCCCAACTTTCCTTCCAAGGAGTGGCTGGTGGGTTTGAACCGCCAACCTTCTGGTTAGCAGTCAAGTGCCTTAGGCACTACACCACCAGAGCTCCTTCACAGTGTATAGTAGTGAGGAAAAAAAAAAAAAATTGACTTTGAGTATAATTTGGTTAAGTTAGTGCTGAAAAAGGAGAGTGTTATTAATGATTCCTTGGTTGAAGGGACAATTTATGAGATGGAAGGGAGCTGACCCCTTGAGGCCTTGGAGCAGTTTGACCCCACAGAAAGAACTAGGATGAGAGTGAGAGGGGCCAAAGTCTCTCCCCCTCTGTGCCTCAGCTTTTGCTTGAAAATCTAAAAGAGAGAGACTGAGCCTCCTGAGCTGGAAGCCTGGGAGGCCCCGCTCCGCTGTTCTCACCTGTCCTTGACACGAAGGATGAGCTGGTGGAAGCGGTCCACGTGCTCGAAGCTGGCCTTGTCGGTGACTGAGAAGACGATGAGGAAGCCGTCACCTGTCCGCATGTACTGCTCTCGCATGGCGCTGAACTCCTCCTGCCCGGCTGTGTCCAGAACTGGGGTAGGAGGAGGCACTCAGGGACTGTCATCACCCACCCTGAAGCCCCCTTATCTCCCCATACTTCTGTCCTCACAGAGAGGCGAACAAGCCTCCCTAGACTGTGCAGTGAGGGTCCCAGGGGGACTTCAGCTACCACAATGGCTGTTCAGGGCGAGGCTTAAACTAGTTTGTTTGTGGATCTACCAAACCCTTCTCCCAGATGCCAATCCATGGTGTTCTCTGGACCTAAATTCTCTGATCTACAAAAAAGGCCTCAAAAATTCAGTGGTCAGATCTGCTATAAAATTCCTCCTGGGAGTCCTCAGAGATGGGCCTGAATCCCTGCTGTAGCCCATAAAAGCTGTGAATCTTTGAGAAGTTATCTGACTCTCCTGAGCCCCCATTTCCTCTCTGTAAACTGGAAGCTATGCCAGGTTGTTGTTGTTGATGTTTTGCCTTTGAGTCGGACCCGACTCATAGGGACCCCTCCTTGGGTTTCTGAGGCAGTATCACTACGGAAGTAGATTGCCCAACCTTCCTTCTGAGGAGTGGCTGGTGGGTTTGAACCACCAGCCTCTGGTCAGCAGTCAAATGCCTTATGCACTACACCACCAGAGCTCCCCTGCTATGCCAGGTGGGGAGGATTAGGAAAGCCTGTGTGTGTATATAAGCACCTGGGGGAGGCCCTCTCCCTGGATAGGGTCATACCCCTTCAAGGATGGAGCTGTGACAGGTTTGGCAGGAGAAGAAAATGAGGTGTGATGGATGCAGGGACAGCTGAGGAGACAGAGTGGGCAGAAGAAGCATGTGAGCCTAGGCTCTTCCCCTACCCAGCTTCCCTCCTCACTTCCCCACCCCCAGGAACTCCTGAATCACACTCCCCTTCAGCTTCTGCCCACTGAGATAAAGTGCTAGCCCCCTGCCTGTTTCTGCCACAATTGGGGTGAGGGTGGAGGAGGTTCTTTTAGAAGTAAAAGTCCAATAGGGGCATGGAGGCTTCAGTGTTCTCCAAGCTAATCCTCCGTCCAGCCCCTTATTCTCCTCCCTGACCTCACTGGAGGCAGATGGAGTCAGCAGTTACCAACAGACTTTGGAGCCAGACAGATCTGGCCAAGTCCCGGCTCCTCAGTCCCTAACAATGTGACCCTGGGGTCACTAACTTCTCTGTTCAGCCCTGGGATGTGTATTATTCAGTCATGCATTCCACAAATATCTTCTGAGTACCTGTTATGGGGTAACAAAGGGGGGACCACTCTCCTTACATTAAGTGTCTGCTTCCCATAGGGCATTGTAAAACTCTGCACAGAAGTGGGGGATAACTGGGTATTTTGAGGCTTAACAGAGTAAGCAGGCATAAGGTCTTTAGAGCAGAGCCCGGCACAAAGAAGCCATAGAGGCCTGTCTGCTGTGCTTGCTCCCACTGGAGCTCTGGTAGCATAGTGCCTAAGGCATCTGACTGCTAACCAGAAGGCTGTGGTTCAAACCCACCAGCCACTCCTTGGAAGGTTGGGCAATCTACTTCCATAGTGATACCACCTCGAAAACCCAAGGAAGGGTAACTATGAGTTGGGTCTGACTCCACGGCACATAACAACAATTGTTGTTGAAGGAGCTCTGGTGGCATAGTGCCTAAGGCATTTGACTGCTAACCAGACAGTTGGCGGTTCAAACCCCCCAGCCACTCCTCGGAAGAAAGACTGGGCAACCTACTTCCGTAAAGATTTACCACCTCGGAAGCCCAAGGGGGTCGCTATAACTTGGGATCGACTTGACTGCAACAGATTTGTTTTTTTGTTGTTTATTGTTTTCGAAAATATACACCAATCTAACAACTTCTACGTGTACAATCCAGTGACAGTGATACATTCTAATATCGTGCAGCCATTCTCGCACTCCTTTTCTGACCTGTTCCTCCCCTACTGACACAGGCTCACAGCCCCCTAAGCTTCCTATCCAACTTCTTGAGTTGCCATTAATGATTTGATCCCATGTAGACAGGTCTCTGAAAGAGCACGAAGCTCACGGTAGGCATATTTACTGATTAAGCTAGACTGTTGTATGGGTTAAAGAAAGCTTCAGGGGACGTTTTCGGTTTGAGGTTTCAGGTTTAAAGATGATCTCAGGGCAGTAGTTTTGGGGATTCATCCCACCTCTGGGCCTTTGCACAGGCCACCCTCTTGGCCCAAGACTCCTTTCTCCCACCATCCCTCCCTCTCCCCTCCTCCCCTTGCCTTTGGGCTAACTCTGACTGATCCCAAATGGTATTTACTTCTCTGGGAAGCATTCTGCTGCCTGAGTCTCCATTACTCCCCCAGCCCATGCTGACCCTTCCTGGCATCTTCTTCTCATTCATGGCCCGTTAATCATTATAATTCCCCATGATGTCGTGGGAGACTAGAACATACCTCTCTGAGAATGGACTTTAAGCTTTAAAATTGGCCCCTAAAAAGTAATGATCTGTCATTACGTAACATTTTAAGAACTCGAGAGAGATGGAGAGAGCACACACTTTATACCCAAACAGTGAATAAGCATTTTTCAAACACACATGGAATGGTCACAAAAACTGGTCATCTATTAGGCCATAAATAAAAATTTCAACAAATTTGAAAAGCAGAAATTACATAGGCTGTATTTTCCCTATAATGCAACACAGTCAGAAATTAACAGAAAATGAGTATAAAAAAATCTACCCACTTGAAAAGCTAAAAAGCTATTGCTCTCTAATTCCTCAGTTAAAGAGAAAAGCAAAGCAGAAATTACAAACAATTGAGAAGCCAATGACAATGGACAGTAATAAAACCTCTGGTTTGAGGCCAAAGTGGTGCTCAGAGGAAAATTACAGCTTTAAATGCATTTCAGACAACAAGGAAGACTGGAAATTAAGCATCAAAGTCAAGAGGCTAGAAAAGGAAACTGAAAATAAACCCAGAGAAATAAGGAATCACCAATTAACATAGAAATTAAGAAAATGGGTGACAGTAATTGAGATCTAAAAATCGAAAGTTGATTCTTCGCTTCCATCAGGTCTCTCCAAAAAGGACCAATCAAAAAAATCTTTAGCAATTGTCATCAGAGGAAAAAAAAAGACAATCAGCATTTGAAATGAGAAAAGGTCTATGACCATGGATACAGATAAATATTTAATTATGAGAGTTAAAACTGTTAAGATAATAGTTTTCCAGCCATACATTTGTAGCCCTACAATTTCAAGTCTTGATGAACTGGATGATTTACAAAAATATAAACGGCCAAAAGTGGACCAAGAAAATTTATAAAATCAGACTAGACCAACAATTATAGTTGGAATTGAAGAAACAGAATGTACCTCACAAATGGCACAGAGCCATCCTTGTGATCTATGAATTGTTCCAGAGCATGGAAAACATAAAAGCTTTCTAACCCATTTAAGAGCCTAGCATAAACCTGGTAACAAAATTGGACAGAGACAGCATGTGAATGTGAGGCGAGTGCAGGCCTGCCCTGCTTTTAGAGCACAGAAGCACCTGCTTGTGAGGTCCTGGGATAGCATCCATTCAGCAAATATCTTCTGAGCACCTGTTATCGGGGGCAAGGGATGGACCACTCTAATTACATTAAGTATCTGCTTTTAATAGAGCAATCTAACCCTTTGTGTTTTTTTGTGATTAGGTTTATTTCTGCCATCTTATTTCATGTCTTTACATAGTGAAAAAATAAGAAGCATTTCCTTTTCAAGGTTCTTAGCAACAAGTTAGGCTGAGATATTAAAAAAAAAAGATGAGGGGAAGAAAGTGATACCTACTATGAGAGAGCTAGTGAAGGGGAGGGGTGTCCCTTCAGCTTGAAGAGAGAAGAGAAAAAGGGGGATTTGATCCTGACCTTGAAGGAAGGTGAAAGAAGGAAAGAATTTGGACAGAGCAGATGAGGCCTGGGGAGGGGTCTTCCAGCCAGAGAAACACCATGGAGGCTGGGAAGAAGGGAGCAGTGAGCAAGCTGGTGTGACTAGGGTCAAAAGTCTAGGATGAGGAAGAGTTGGAAGGAAGATGAGACAGGGAAACCAGAGGCTAGGGGACCTTGGACCCCAAACTCAAAACTTTGGACTCTGGGCACTGGGGAGCTACTGAAGATTTGGAGAGGGGAGAAATGCATGTGAGGAGGGTGAGTCTGGCAGCCAGTGAGGAAGAGGACTCCAGGCAGGGAGGGACCTAATAGGGGTTAAGTGGGGCCCGAACCAAGGCAGGTGTATTAAGGTGGAGAAGAGAGAATGGATGCTGAGACAATGAGGACAAAGAACAGACAGAATGGTGGGGGGAGGGGCAAGGCAACAGAGTTGAGGGCACTTTAGAAATTACAAACCTGCGGCCTGAGGGGACAGGTGAAATCAGAGAGGAGGAGTAGGGCTGAGCTGGGCCTGGTCCAGTTTGGGATCCATCTCCTTGTCCAGCTTCCCCAAACACACACACACACACACACACACACACACACACACACGGAAATGCCTGGTTACAGGCCCCTCATTAGCAGTTCTGCCTCCAAGACTTCCTGCGGGTAGGCTGAAGAAAGCAGGCAGCTATGATTTTAAGAAATTATGATTCCCACCTGCATTCCCCACGCCTGATGCCGTGAAGGTAGGAGGACTCCGGAGACAGAAACCATTAGTCACTATGGGGGAAGAGGTATTCTGCCAATGTGTGTGTGCGTAAGTGAGAGAGCGAGAGAGAAAGAGAGGGAGGGGGAGAGAGAGAGAGAAAAATAGAGGGAGGGGGAGAGAGAAATACAGAGGAGGAGACTGGTAGACTGGGGAAGAGAAGAGACAAACAGAGATTCTGGAGACAGAGGGTCAGTGTTGTGTGCATCTGTTAGTCCACCCAATCCTCCACCTCAGGGGCTGATAGGTCAGCAGTGCTGCTGAGGATTTAAGTGGAGACCCCAGGACTGCTGTTGGCACATGCCAGCATGGCCTAGGGTCCCAGGCGGGTGGGCAGGCAGCTTGCAGGGAAACTGACCTGGATCCCTGCTGCAGACTGCCAAGCC